TTTTTAGCTTTCTTCTTGATATAATTGCTATTATCTCTTTTTGTTATTTAAATTCAGATTCAAAATGAGATGTCTTATGAGATGTATCCCTGAGCCTTTTCAGAGTTGACAGATGGGCAGGGCATTTAATGACCCAAAAAGCCATTACTGCCTCAAATTCTCTGCCTAATGACTCAGGGTGTGAACACGCATATAGATGAAGCCACAGGATTTTCTTCTCTTTGTTCACATCCACGCTTTATTTCAGTTGAATCTGTGCAACTTTTCTTTTTAAATGATGAATCTACTGAACAGACGAATCTTGATTCTATGATTTGCAAATTATCTAGACCACTGGTGTTTAGTGGATCGAAGGATTTTTAATCGCACATGTAAATACAGTTCTGTTCTTGACAGAAGTGTTAGGATTCTTAGGAAACATGATTCCTCATTGTTTTGAGACATCTTCACATTTAATAGTCTCTTTATTTGAAGCTAGGAGTTGCCAAAGATAACACATTAGTCCCTGGCATTTCTGGTGAATCTGGTGAAGTTCCAGGGAAACAGAATGTCCAGGAGTGCAGGATTTGGTGACTGGTGTCCGGAGTTGTCTGAAACATGACAGTTTAAAGGGGATCCCCCTGAACCCCAGCTCAACACTCTGCCCTTAGGTATATGCTATTTCCAATGGCCTGTGGTTCTCTTCCCTTTTTTTTGGTACTGGGGATCGAACTCGGCACCTTGGGCTTGTGAGGCAGGCAGTGGAACCACTGAGCTAAATCCCCAGCCCAGCCTGTGGTTAGTAGTTTATTTTGGCCTGTTGAGAATCAGATAAACTATACTTCATGATAGAATATTTTTGTAATAAGGGCAGAGTAAGTGTGAATAGTAACCATCATTTTTTTATGAGATGAATTACTAGTGTTTAAAAAAATTTTCAACTTGTTTTTAGATTCACAGGAAAATCAAATACTGAAATGTATGGCATATTAGTGAACCTGATGAATCTCTGCAGAGTTGAGAACAGGTCTTAGGGCTTCTACTCCCCTGTGCATTCCAGAGAATGTCCTAGTATGAGTTTTTCAAATAAAGGCCTAAGATCAGAATAGTTAAAGAGAAGTAACGGATTTGATGCATTAACAATCTGCAGTGCCTGACATGTTGCAAGTGGGCAATAAATATACACTACATGAATAAAAACCAGCATGGGCTAGGCATGGTAGTGGTGCATGCCTGTAATCCCAGCACTCGGGAGGCTGAGGTAGGAGGATCACTATGAATTCGAGGTCAACTTGGGCTGCATAGTGAGTTCAAGGCCAGGCAGAACTACATGGTGAGAGTCTGTCTCAAAAAACCCAAAACCAAACCATACAAACCAAAACCCCCAAAACCAACATGGCCTCCTTTGCTGCATGAACAACTTGGGCTACTGGTTCCTTTTACCCTTCCCTATGTGTTCAGTTTTCTGCATCTTTGTTCTCCACCCTCGGGTTTGTGAGTCTCAGTGTGTGTGCTAGTGGGGCAGGGGAGTTGCAGTGAGAAAAGGGGTCTGGGCTGGGAGCAGGAAAGGTAGTTCAAGATCCCCCGGGAGCCTCCCCCTGAAGAGAACCTGTCTTTTAGGGAGCCCGATGGCCACCAGGCTCCACTGCTTGGGAGAATGAGGAATTCTGCCTTGATTTGTGTCCTGAGAGGCTGCTGCCATGAGCTGTCTACGACCATCCATCAGTCCATCTCAGCCCAGTCTTACTGTCTGATACCACAGACGTCACAAACCCACATCCGCAACAATGAGCAGAAATACGTCAATTCCATGACTCGCTTCTCTTCCCTCCCGCTCTCCCCTCCCTTCCCACCTTCTTCCCCCTTCACTATGTTCATTCTTCCTCTTTTTTTCAGTTTTTTCCTTTTTCTTAGTCTGGCTAACAGTTTGTGGAGCTTGTTCATCTTATTTTTAAAAAGGCATCTTTCATTTTGTGGGTCTTTTAAAATTGGTTTTCTACTCTCTTTTATTCTTTATTGTTTCCTAATTTTGAGCTTAGTTTGTTCTTTTTTTTGGTACCTGGGATGAGCTTAGTTTCTTCTTGTTTTACTAGTTTCTTTTTGAAAAAAATATTTATTTATTTATTTATTTTCTCACTGTGCAGCTCAGGCTGGTCTTGAACTCACTATGTAATGCAGGCTGGACTCAAACTTGTGACCCTCCTGGCTCAGCCTCATGGATGCAGGGAGTGCAGATGTGCACCACCGCCTCTAGCACTTGTTATTAGTTTTGTTTTCAAATGCTATTGTAGGTTGCTTATTTGAGACCTTGGTGTTTATGGCTCTCGACGTCCTTCTGAGAACTCTTTTTGCTGTGTCCTATAGGTTTTGATGTGCTGTGTTCCCATCTTCATTTGTCTCAAGAAATTTTTT